TCTAACCAGATTTAAATCAAATCAAATCAAAGCTTTATTTATAAAGTTTTATTTAAGCTACAAGCTCTTTAAATAGTGGTATAAAAATTCATATTTTACTGAAAAAACTATGGCGCCTAAAGGGTTAACTTGGCAGTTGAACTTTGAGAATTAATGACCCTGTCTAAATACTTTTAGAAGTCTGGACCACCAGTCATTCATTTATCTGATAAACAGTTCTTGTAAGCAACGTACTTTAGCTTTGCTCGGAAGCCGACTGCACAAACAATTCCTTTGGAGCTGTTGGAAAAACAGCACATGAACATTATTGTGAAGCAAACAGGCTTTTAAACAAGAGACTCAAAATTCAGCTGTATACTTTTTGTACAGAGGACCTCTTGACCTTTAAAGCTCTTAAACCCCCACAACAGAACATTCCTAATGAGCTCTGTTTAACAAACTGAACTACCAATCAGCGAGATGGGAAACCTTCATGCTTTTTGCATCTTTTCTTCAGACAAGAGCTACAAACAAACGTGTTTCATATGAATGTTGCAGGAAAAATGTCAAACTAGATATTTTAGCGATAGTTTTGGAAACTGGACGGTGGACAAGTTTGTGCAAAACTAATATGAATGTGCAGAGTTGCAGTGCAGAATAATGCAGAATAATAATGTAGTGTGCAAACACAATGAATGTGCAAAGATTTGCTCGTTTTGGACGATAAAAAAACATATTTGTAATTTAGTTTTTGGATATTTGAAGAGCTTTTGTGTAATTTTCACTTCATTTGAATCCCGATGAACTCACATTTCCTACCAGCTGACCTTTATTTATCTTTCTCCTACAGGTCACAAGTGTCCACACCTCAAGGTCAGACATTGTAAAGTCTGGAAGCCACAAATCCACATTAAAGCATATATGGACAGAAAATGGTAAGGAGATGTCCATCAGTAGGCTGCTTTCTCAGACTTTACATGGCAAAGAGAACAGCACAGCCTTGGACCTTCACTATAACACTCCAGAGCCCTACTCGGAGCAAGACCTGTGGGACTGGCTGAGAAATTCCACGGACCTGCAGGACTCACGGCCACGAGTCAAACGGCGACCCATGGTCAAGACGGGGAAGTTCAAGAAGATGTTTGGCTGGGGGGACTTCCACTCAAACATAAAGACGGTCAAGCTCAATCTGCTGATCACTGGGAAAATTGTGGATCATGGCAATGGCACCTTCAGCGTGTACTTCCGCCACAACTCCACAGGCCAGGGCAACGTATCCGTCAGCTTAGTTCCTCCCACCAAGATAGTGGAGTTTGATGTGACAGCGCAGCAGTCGGTCATCGACGCCAAGGACTCAAAGTCCTTCAATTGCCGTATAGAGTACGAGAAGGTGGAGAAAGGAGCAAAGAACACGCTGTGCAACTTCGACCCATCCAAGACCTGCTACCAGGAGCAAACCCAAAGCCATGTCTCCTGGCTCTGCTCCAAACCCTTCAAAGTCATCTGCATCTTCATTTCCTTCTACAGCACTGACTACAAACTGGTGCAGAAAGTGTGTCCAGACTACAACTACCACAGTGACACTCCATACTTCCCCTCTGGCTGATGGCCCACCCTACTGTAGATAAGTTGTGCACAGACTGGGGATTCTGCCTATCTCAGAGAAAAGTGTGTGTTAGCTGTATGGTCCCTCAGCCATTCAGATAGGTTCTTTATGTTTGATCAGATCAGTGGTTTGAAATCTGTAGACACATTTTTCATGTCTATGTTCCAAACCGATGAATAGACCTACGAGATGTTTGAGAGGAACCCGGAAAACCCGGAGAACTCTGGTTCCATGTTGTGTTTTAAACTTTATCCTGTTTGTTTGAGTCATAATTCTTCACCAACCCAGTCCTGAAACGTTTTAATTTGTTCATTTTAGTTGAATGTTTTCTTATGTTTTCATGTGTCTATTCCATATGACAAACTCGCGGGGAATGCCGTGCTGTTGATGCCCTGCAGTCTTTTTTGTTTTTTTATTAAAACTCCTCATTAAAAAACTAGAAAAGGTAACAAACCCCAGCTGTTTTGTATAATTTACAGCCCAGCAGCTGATGAGGACATGAATGTGAGTTTAGAAATGTGACGTGGTCCTATCTACACAGGGGTCAGCTGACCTCGAGTCAATCCTCAGTTGTTGTCAGATTTCCTCCTAGTGAAGCCGGCTGTTGATGGATGGACTGCTACCTGAGACTTGTGGGGGACCGGGCTTGCTCATTATCACCTGATATATAAGCTGTAATGTATTGAATTCTATATCTTAGAGCCTAATTTGTATGAATGATTTCTATTGTACATAGTATTCTGATTTATGCTGCTTCTGTACATGTCCCCCCCAGCCCCCCAGCCCCCCACCCCCACTTTATGCTTGTTCTCAGTTTTATCAAAGAAAAAAATGTTGCTGCCCTAGATGTGAAATTCATGAAAACAGCCAACCTGTACACAAAAGCTGTGAAACCCACTAAATATATCAAAATTCTTCTCATTTCTTTCTTGTGGTCTGTGTGTGTGTGTGTGTGTGTGTGTGTGTGTGTGTGTGTGTGTGTGTGTGTGTGTGTGTGTGTGTGTGTGTGTGTGTGTGTGTGTGTGCGTGTGTGCGCGTGTGTGTGTGTGTGTGTGTTAAACTTATTTGAGTGAATGTTGGTGCATGTGAACTCTGCACATTTCCATTGGACTCAACTCAAGCTGGATTGTTGACTTGTGACTGTTGTCATGCGGACAAACATGAGCCAGATTTAAAGGGACACTTTGCAACTTCTTGATATTTTAAATAATTTTCTTGAGCCAGTATGTGCAACAATGACCCTGTACAGGGTTAATGAAATGTCACTCAGACCCCCACCGCCCTCTGTGGCCAGAGTATTCAACTTGCAACTTCAGACTGCGGGCCACTCTGTTGAGACTGAAATACCAGGTGCTGCAGTCTGCTTCCAGCTGATTTCCTGCACGTTTTAGATCATGAACACAGCTGATTTGTTTAATATAGAGATGAATTACTCCTGTAGACACTAAGGACGGCTGAAGACACATTTCAGCTGTTAGATTAAGGTGTTAAAAATACATTGCACTGCAAGGAGATACATTTTTCTTTCGGTTCTACAAATGGACACTAGGAGGTGCTAAATGCAAGCCAAAACTGCCTAGTCTCCTTTTAACTCATTCACTGCCAGCCGTTTCCTGATCGCTAACGGCCTTCGCTGCCAGCGTTTCTCACCGTTTTTACTGTTTTTTAAGAGTCACAGAATGTTGCGCGCTAGCATGATGTCAATGCCAAAACAACCAAAACAAAGCGGAGACTCACCTCTTACATCAGGAAGAATCCGTGTGTTTCGAGCGTTATCCGTTCTTTCATAATTCGTTGTTGAATTGTGATCGGCAGACGCTTTTCCGGTTCGCGCCTCACTTTTTTTTACAGGAACGGCCCAAAACGATCTCCAAACACATGGATGGTCTGTTTCCTGATCATGTGATCTGTGACGTATACGGATGAAGATCGGCTTCAGGGCTGAGATGTTTGTTCTCTCAGCGCGGGGGCTCGTTCCGATGCTCAAACAGTAAAAAAATGCAAATGACAGCTTTAGTCGTCATTGGCAGTGAACGGTTGGATCTAAAATGACGACTTTAGTCGTCAGTGGCAGTGAATGAGTTAACATTAGCTGCTTCTAAGGTCCTTTGCGGTATTAAGAGGAAAATGTTCTTGTTCATGATGTTATAGTAGCCTGGCCGGCCAGACTCCTCCTCTGTTTAATTCTGCACAGAGAAAGGGTCTGGCAACGCTCCTATTCAAATAACCCCACCCCCTGACAATTCTAACCGAGCCAGTCAGTGCAGAGTAGCATACGTCACACACCACAATGCCGAGTTTGTCATAAACATGGCGACTGTAGCGGAGTTCGCTGCGGCTCCTTCCTCTGTTCTAAATGACTTGAATGTCTTTAAAACCACAAGTTGAAGTGCTGAAAACATTTCTTCTAAAAAAAAAAGATGTTTGCGCCGTTGTCAGACACCATTTTTGACTACAGCTAAAAAACTACAGGGTCGCGCGTCTTTTTTCTGATTGGTTAGTTTTGAGCTGCCTAGTCCCGCCCCTCATGTAACTCTCTGCCTGTGAGTAACCAGACTCTTTCTCTGTGCAGAATTAAACAGAGGACGAGTCTGGCAGGCCAGGATAGTGTTCTAGATGTTTGCTGAAAATGTCAGCCTCATATCTCTAACCATCTCTATTTGGGATCAAACTGAAGTACAATCTCAAAAACAGATTAAAGCCATTTTGATCCATTTTGTCTGATATCAACTAGTAAATAATAAAAAGATGTTTCCTATGAATATTAATCAAAACTGAGGTATCTGTTTTTGCAAATAAACTCTTCAGATTGCAGTGATTAAATCCTCTGACTCTGACCATCACTGCTTGTTTCCTGGCTTTCCACATAAGTGGGGCGCGCTAAAACATTAAACTGACATTTCATTTTTAATGCAACATTTTTATTCTTAAAAAACTGGAATGAAGAGCTGCCACCCAATCAGCATAAAATTAGAGAAGTATCACATTGTAACATGTAACATGTTCATGTCCTAAAAATATACAAATGCATCATGTTTGTACAGCATTATTATATTGTACAAATTACATAATTATACTGTACAACATAATAAATATGTATAATGTAATTCACACTCCCAGAATGGTTCAAGCACGTCCCAAAAGCTTCTCGCCGTGCGTCACCACCAACGCTAGTGTTGCACGCCCCAGGGTGGGGTTGATAAAACAGTGATGAACGGGATCTGAAAAACCGTATAAGCGTGAGAGCAATAACCACTGGAGCGCTGCTTTCCACATCCAGATCTCGTCTGCTTCTTTAATCACCTTTTACAAAAATCATTTTCCAGTTTACAGTAATAGTGCAATTATCTCCAACACTACATAGCTCATCAGATGTGCTGCATTTTCACCGGTGAACATAAAACTTCAACACATTATTCCCTGTACATTGTATGTAAACCACTAAATGTAGTGCTATTCCAGTATTTCCCAAGTGTCATCAAAGCTTGACTATTTGGCTGCATTTTCTCGACTTTTACACTAAACTATATACTGCTATTCACTCGTTTGTGCATAGAAATAAGCAGACATTCAACCCTTCACTTTACATTAACTTCTCATTGTTTCATTAGCCCTTTAAATGAATATTTAACAAACAATAACTGTATTTTCTTCTGTTTTTAGCTTAAACTCAACTTGACCTGCTTCCTGGTTATGTTGTGTGTAGGGATGGGTACTGAATTCGGTACTTTTTAAGGTACCGACCGAATTCCACAGTACCGACCGAGCACCGATTCACTTCATTTGAAACGGTGCCTCATTTCGGTACCCGTCCTTCACAACGAGAACTTACCTAGACAGCTGCGCATGCGCAACAGCGTTTTGTCATCGCTTGCTGTGAACCAGTTGTAAACAGAGCAGCACGGTAGAAAGAACGAACGCTAAAGCTTAGGTCCACTTCACTAAATGTGATGGGTAACTGGGTGATGATGAAACCAGCGACAACTATCTAAGTGAGACATCCTCATCTTAACCTGCTCCGGTAGGTAAATAAAATTCTTAAGATAACGTTAGCTTGATATGTTAGCTTCCGTTTCGCTAATGGTGCGTTCGCTTTCTCCTCGGAACTCCAAAATTCCGACTAGAAGAACATGAATGCGCTCTAAAGTTTGGCTTCACTTTACTAAATGCGACGGGTGATTGGGTGAAGATGAAACCAGCGACAACGATCTAAGTGTGAGGCATCATCGTTTTAATCTGCTCCAGCAGCTAAATAAACTGTTTAAGATAAAGGTAGCTTGATATGTTAGCTTCCTATGCCACCATTGTTATCATCTAATGGTGCGTTCGCTTTCTCCTCAGAAATTCTAACTTCCCAGTAGGAAAAATCAATTGAAAAAGGACGGCAAAAGGAATGAAGATACACAGTAAATTTAGTTCACAGTAAAGATGTTTGCTTCAGTTTAATTATCAGCTTATAAAACTACAAGGACGATGTTAAAATACAAACAGATGTATGTTATTTATCGTGATATTTATCAAATATTGTTATATATTGAGAAAAATATATATTTAATTGTAAAAGAGAATTAAAATACTAAACACTCAAAAGTATCGAAAGTTGGTACCGTTAAGTACCGGTATCAATTCGTAGGTACCGGGAATTAGTACCGGATCGATTCAAATGTCAAAGGTACCCATCCCTAGTTGTGTGTTAACACAAGGTAACACAATCAAAGTTTATCCCGTTAAAACAGAGTAAACCTTAAACTCCCAGAGTTTATGAACTCTCGTAATATTTCGGGCGCTCTAGCCCGTGAAAATCTCCCCACCGGACTAATTAACAACCTTCTACGGCAAAGTACCTAAGTGGACACACAATGTCGCTCACCTACAGGAAAACAAACGGAACTCCTTCACATTCCAATTGAGTGTCTTTTGTCGCATGTACTGACCTGAAAAACAGTGCAAACGGGAGAGCAATAACCACAGGAGCACTGCTTTCCACATCCAGATCTCGTCTGACGGAGAAACAGGAAGTTCACCACCAACAGAGTCCTGGCGCAATGCCTCCCCGAACAAAGGTTCCGCCTGGCTCGTTTCTGTCCCCACTACATTCAGTTCAGTACCTTATGATGCACATTCGTGCTTTTTAAAACAGAAAACTATTGTATGAAAAAAAAACAAAAATAATTAACATTGAGTCCAAGATACTTAATAACACTAGGATTGGGTTAAAGTAGTGCGCTGATGTTTCAAGCTCTACAATTAAGGCTAAACAGGAAATCCCACACCAAATTAGTGTAAACCTTTCATGAATCTCAGACTACTGCAGGGTTGAGATAACTATGTAAACATTACGTCTGTTAACCAAATGGCTGGTTTATTTCCTGCATCTTTTTAGGAGAGCAATGATGTTTTTCAGCATGTTCAAGGCTTTTATTCTAATAGAGGAATCACAACATCACTTATGACATCACATTTCCTTTTTACAAAGACAACACCATAAAGGATGAGGCATGGAACTAATTACCAAAGTGGATGTTGAGTTTAAAAGACATAGTACAAAAGAGTTAGCCTGAGAGCCAATGGACCATTGTGTGTGGGATTCCCTAACCCTTCCAGGAGCTGTCGATGCGCTACTAAAGAAGGTTTGGGTTGGGCAGTAAAGCTATCAGAATGGATTGTCTGCATGCCAAAAACAGACCGTACACATTTACTCTCACATGTGGAGCGTCACTGCCTCCACTCAAAACCTTTAGAACCGCTTCTGGGTTTGATTAAAATTTTCAATGGAAATAGAGCGTGAAATGAAAGGGAGAGGAGGAAAAGGAAGGAAAATAGGTGGCAAAAATAAAACACAAGAGGTACAAAGAATCTGCTACCTGACAAATAGAGAAAAACGACAGAGATACAACAAAAAACACCAACGATGT